GAATATGTTGTAAAAAGAAAATAATAGTTTGTGGATGTAAAAGCAGTAAAAGGTAATTGTAAAATAAGAATTTGTTGTACCAGATATTGGGTTAAATATATTGTTATTTACTAATATTTTTATAAAATGCTTAAATAAAAAATAATAATAAAGTAATACAAACTGAAATAGTAAGAAAAATAGTAAATACAAAAAAGATTTGTAATAAAAAATTAGTTTTTTCAAAATTAAAAACACTTTAATACTATAGAATAACTAAAAATAAAAAAATAATTATATATATAAAAAATATAATTTATAAATATATAATTTATTAAGATGAGGTCCTATAGTTTAGTAGTTTAAATGTCTCTTCTTTTACAGACAAGATCAACAGTTCAATTTTAGCTAAAAGCAAAAACTCTGTAATTTATAAAAACATATAAATGTACATAAAGTTCTGTAGCTAAGTTCATATAAATAAAAGATTAATATATAAGGAAGTTTTTAGAAAGAAGGTTTCTAATATGGGGTGTCTCCAATTAAAACAGCCCAGATTTACATTTTTAAAAATTTTTTTTTATTTTATTTTTTAATAAATATGTATTCAAGAAAAAAATTTACTATGAGTCACAAGTGCACATTACATAATAAAAAATTTGGTGAGATGCAAAAAACTAAAACTGCTATAGAAATCTAAAAATAGAAATTAACGATTTCAGGATTTTCGAAAATCCAAAAGAAAATTCTAGAAATATAGATCTTATTTAAAAAAAGCTAAAAGAAGTTAAAGTAACACAAAAAAAGTTTAATTTAAAAAATTTTTTATATTAAATTAACACATAAAAAGGTTAACTGTTATGAAATTTTTTTTTAATAATTTTTTTTCAAACTACCAAACGAAAGCTTTCTCTTTTAAATACAAGGTCTTCTTTTAAATACAAGGTCTTCTTTTAAACACAAAGTCTTCTTTTAAATGCAAACTTGGTATTGAATAATTCTAACAAACATAACATTTAAATTGGTTGGTTGCGATGGTTATGTAAAGGTAATTGTAGTTATTTAATTCTGTGAATTTTGGTTCAAAAAACTGCCAAAGGTCTTTTTTAAATTCCAGCAGATTTGGTTTAACAATGAAGGTCTTCTTACTATGATGAATTTGTCTGTTGTTAGAATTGAATGAAAATGACAGACGTAACATCTTAATTGGTTAGTTATGACGGCTATTGCGTGGGTTAGGAGCGCATAACAGTTTTGCAATGGTGATTGAATTATTTTTTTAATTTCTGTGGGTTTCAGTTCAAAAACTACCAAAGGTCTTTTTTTTTTTAATTCTAGCGAATTTGGTTCAATAATGAAGGTCTTTCTTAATCTGATGAATTTTTCAAAGGCTCTAGTGTATGTTGTTGGAATTGAATGATCATGACGGATGTAACATCTTAATTGGTTGGTTACGACAGCTATGCGTGGGTTAGAGGCACATAACAGTTTTGCAATAGTGATTGAATTATTTTTTAATTTGTGGGTTTCGGTTCAAAAACTACCAAAGGTTTTTTTTTTAATTCTAGCGAATTTGGTTCAATAATGAAGGTCTTTCTTAATCTGGCAAATTTTTCAAAAGCTCTAGTATATATTGTTGAAATTGAATAATCATGACGGACATAACATCTTAATTGGTTGGTTACGATGGCTATGCGCAGATTAGGGGCACATAACAGTTTGGCAATAGTGATTGAATTATTTTTTAATTTCTGTGGGTTTCGGTTCAAAAACTACCAAAGGTCTTTTTTTTTTATTCCAGTGAATTTAGTTCAATAATAAAAGTCTTTCTTAATCTGGCAAATTTTTCAAAAGCTCTAGCAAATGTTGTTGGAATTGAATGATCATGATGGATATAACATCTTAATTGGTTGGTTATGACAGCTATGCGCGGGTTAGGGGCGCATAACAGTTTTGCAATGGTAATTGAATTATTTTTTAATTTCTGTGGGTTTTGGTTCAAAAACTACTAAAGGTCTTTTTTTTTTATTCCAGCGAATTTGGTTCAATAATAAAGGTCTTTCTTAATCTGGCAAATTTTTCAAAAGCTCTAGTGTATGTTGTTGGAATTGAATGATCATGACAGATGTAACATCTTAATTGGTTGGTTACAATGGCTATGCATGGGTTAGGGGCACATAACAGTTTGGCAATGGTGATTGAATTATTTTTTAATTTCTGTGGGTTTCGGTTCAGAAACTACTAAAGGTCTTTTTTATTTTTTATTTTAGCGAATTTGGTTCAATAATGAAGGTCTTTCTTAATCTGGCAAATTTTTCAAAAGCTCTAGCATATGTTGTTGGAATTGAATGATCATGACGGACATAACATCTTAATGGGTTGGTTATAACAGCTATGTGCAGGTTAGGGGCACATAACAGGTTTGCAATAGTGATTGGATTGTTTTTTAATTGGTGGGTTTTAGTTCTAAAACTACCAAAGGTTTTTTTTTTAATTCTAGCGAATTTGGTTCAATAATAAAGGTCTTTCTTAATCTGGTGAATTTTTCAAAAGCTCTAGCATATGTTGTTAGAATTGAATGATCATGATGGACATAACATCTTAATTGGTTGATTATGATGGCTATGCGCGGGTTAGGGGCACATAACAGTTTTGCAATAGTAATTGAATTATTTTTTAATTTCTGTAGGTTTCGGTTCAAAAACTACTAAAGGTCTTTTTTTTTATTCTAGCGAATTTGGTTCAATAATGAAAGTCTTTCTTAATCTGGCAAATTTTTCAAAAGCTCTAGAGTATGTTGTTGGAATTGAATGATCATGACGGATGAACATTTTAATTGGTTGGTTATGACAGCTATGCATGGGTTAGGGGCGCATAACAGTTTGGCAATGGTGATTGAATTAATTTTTAATTTCTGTGGGTTTCAGTTCAAAAACTACCAAAGGTCTTTTTTTTTTTTTATTTTAGCGAATTTGGTTCAATAATAAAGATCTTTCTTAATCTGGCAAATTTTTCAAAAACTCTAGCATATGTTGTTAGAATTGAATGATCATGACAGACGTAACATCTTAATTGGTTGGTTATAACAGCTATGCATAGGTTAGAGGCACATAACAGGTTTGCAATAGTGATTGGATTATTTTTTAATTTGTAGGTTTCGGTTCTAAAACTACCAAAGGTCTTTTTTTTAATTCTAGTGAATTTGGTTCAATAATGAAGGTCTTTCTTAATCTGGCGAATTTTTCAAAAGCTCTAGTGTATGTTGTTGGAATTAAATGATCATGATGGACATAACATCTTAATTGGTTGGTTACGATGGCTATATGTGGGTTAGGAGCGCATAACAGTTTTGCAATGGTAATTGAATTATTTTTTAATTTCTGTGAGTTTCAGTTCAAAAACTACCAAAGGTCTTTTTTTTTTTATTCCAGCGAATTTGGTTCAATAATGAAGGTCTTTCTTAATCTGGCGAATTTTTCAAAAGCTCTAGTGTATGTTGTTGGAATTGAATGATCATGATGGACATAACATCTTAATTGGTTGGTTATGATGGCTATGCGCGGGTTAGGGGTACATAACAGTTTGGCAATGGTAATTGAATTATTTTTTAATTTTTGTGGGTTTCGGTTCAAAAACTACTAAAGGTCTTTTTTTTTTATTTCAGCGAATTTGGTTCAATAATGAAGGTCTTTCTTAATCTGGCAAATTTTTCAAAAGCTCTAGCATATATTGTTAGAATTGAATGATCATGACGGACGTAACATCTTAATTGGTTGGTTATGACAGCTATGCGTGGGTTAGCAGTTTGGCAATGATGATTGAATTATTTTTTAATTTCTGTGGGTTTCGGTTCAAAAACTACCAAAGGTCTTTTTTTTTTATTTCAACGAATTTGGTTTAATAATGAAGGTCTTTCTTAATCTGGTAAATTTTTCAAAACCTCTAGCATATGTTGTTGGAATTGAATGAGCATGATGGACTTAACATCTTAATTGGTTGGTTATGACAGCTATGCATGGGTTAGGGGTGCATAACAGTTTTGCAATGGTGATTGAATTATTTTTTAATTTGTGGGTTTCGGTTCAAAAACTACCAAAGGTTTTTTTTTTTTAATTCTAGCAAATTTGGTTCAATAATGAAGATCTTAATCTGGCAAATTTGTTCAAAAGCTCTAGCATATGTTGTTGGAATTGAATGATCATGATGGACTAACATCTTAATTGGTTGGTTATGACAGCTATGCGCGTGTTAGGGGCACATAACAGTTTTGCAATGGTGATTGAATTATTTTTTAATTTGTAGGTTTCGGTTCAAAAACTATCAATGTTTTTTTTAAATTTTTGCTGATTTGAATTTGTTCAAAAACTTGTCTATTGTTGGAATTAGTATTGCATGAATGATTCTGATAGACGTAATGATTAATTGGTTGGTTACAATGGCTATGCTCGGGTTAGGAGCATGATAGTATTTTTAAAATAAATATATATTGATTGAGTTTAAAAATAATTTAAATGCGGAGTTTTTTTATTATATAAATATAAGATAATATGCATAATTTATGTATGATACTGCATAATAAAAGAATAATTTTGATAAACAATTATTATATTGTTGTGAAATAATGCTTGGTGTTATTTTTGGATATAATTATTAATGTTATAGAATAATACTTTCAGGTATATATTATCTTATGATAATGCAGATATTATTATATAAACATAATAATAAAATAATTTTAACAATTAATTGTATTGTTATTTAATTACAATAGTTATTATTTTTTATTGTATAAAATAATTTTTTTAGTAATTTAATAATTATTTATATTAAATTGTATAATTATTGTTTTAATTTCTATTGTTTTAAATTTGTATATAATTTTATTGTAAAATAAATATATTAATATAATATTTAATATAATTATAAATTATAATAAATATATAAACATGAAATAGTTATTTGATATAATTTTAAAATAAATTAATTTTATTTATTAAAATTTAAAAATTTATTTTACAAAAATGACAAATTTTTATTTAAACAAAAGTATTTTTGAAGAAACTCATAAAGATAATACTCAATTACAAACTGATCTTTCAAATTTGCAATTTCAATATTTAGATGATGAAAATAATTTATCATCATTAGATAATTCTAAAATTTTTGAAATTCAAGAAATTTCAGAAAATATTCTTTTAGAAAATGAAATTTGGACTGAAGAAAAACTTTTTAAATTTAAAATATTATATTATAAAACAAAAGATATTTTAGAAAAACCAGATGATGATAATCAAAAATTAGAAGAAGAAATTAGTTCATTAGAAAATAATGAATTTAAAAAATCTTTTGATAAACAATGTTGTGAAAAAAATTGTTTACAAACTCAATGTGATTATTCAATTGCTTTGTTACAATATTTAAATTTTAAAAATCTTTCTAAATCTTTTCAAGATATGTATTTATTAGGTATTATTGCTGCAACTAAATGACCAGAAGTATTTAGAAATTTAAAAAAATCTGTTCTTTCTACAGAATATATTTTTGAAGGAAAATTAATTTGTTTAAATGTATTTAAAACAATTTATGGACTTGGAGATACAAGATAGAAAAATTTAAGAGAACATTTTGTAAAAAATGATATTAATTTAAAAAAAAATTCTAAAACAGAAAAAATAGGAAATAGAGCATTATCATTTGAAATAGTAATGAATGTTATTACTTTTATAGCAAATTATGCAAAACAAAATGGTTTGCCTTTTCCAGGTATTTTGTTTAAATTAATTATAATTATTTGTTTTAAAATTTTAATTAATATAAATTTTTAGGTCGAAGTTTTCATGATAATACTAGTGCAATTATATATTTATCAGCAGATATAACTTATTCATCTTTATATATTCAATATTTAGAAGCTATTAAAAATAATGATCAATATGGAGTTTCTTTAAATACATTTAATAGAATTTAGAAAAAATTTTTACCTTATATTAAAAAATTAACTTCTAGAAGTGATTTATGTTTAAAATGCAAAGATATGTGATTTAATGCTAATTATTGGACAGTAGAAGAAAAAGAAACAAAAGTATTAGAATGGCATCAACATATTGAATGGGCACATAAAGAAAGAGAAAATTATAAGTAAATAATTTTTATATTTATTTTTTATTAATTTTTAAAATATTAATTTATTTATTTAAATTTAATAGAAATTATATTAATATAGCATATAATGATATTCAAAAATTTGGAATTAGTAATTTATTACGTCCTGAAAAACCTAATTCTTTAAATATTACAATTCATCTTTCTTGGGATTATGCACAACAAATTTAATTATCACATTCATCTCAACAAGAAGTAAGTTTTTATATAAATTTTTATATAAATTTAAATAATAATTTTATATTTTTTTTATTATTATTTTTTTTTTTTTTAACCTTTGGCAGCTACGATAGTCAACCAGTCAGAAGTTTATTTATAAATGTTTAGTACAGACAATATACAAATAGAACTATATCTAACTCCATGTGC